CTTTCTTCCACGGAACTGCTGATAGTTTCGAACTGCTGACCTTGAGGTTGGCAGCTCAATTCGTAACCACTACACTACCAGAGCTCCTTAGACAGTGTTTAATTGGATCATGCTTTTTTAATTACCCATTCTGAAAATCTGTATTTGAACCAGTGTGTTTAGACCATTTTCACTAATGTGACAGTGAATTGCTTGGATTGAAGGCTTTATTTTATTCGTGTTCTGTTTCTCATTCTTCTGTTTCCCTCTACACACCCTACTAGCCTCTGGCTTCTGATGAGAAAGGCAGCAGTCTGAATCCTTAGTGGCCTTTAGGACAGGTATTGTTGAGTGTTTACTGCTTCTGAGATTTGTTTTCTTTGTCTTCATTTTCAGCAGTTAAATTGTGCTTTGTCTAGGTCTTGATATCTTTGGGCTTATACTGTTTGGGAGTTATTTAGATTCTGAATATTTATATGCTTTATCACACTTGGGACATTTTCAGCCATTCTTTCTTCAGATTCAGGCATTTATCACTTAACATCTGTGATACAGTCTGTCAAATAGGATGTTAATAATTTGGATGTTAGGTGAACACCACACAGTCCTGTGCCGTACAATCTGTTTAGGTAACATGTGACCACGTATACAACAGTAAATCCGAAAAGTATTGCTTTAATTACGCAAAAATATGAAGATGTGAAGCTATTGCTTCTCAACATAGCCTCCATCTTGGTCTCTACTCTTCTGAGGGCAGCATGTCCATCTCTCTAACCCTTCCCCAAAGAAATCTGTGCTGTTGATTTACACCACATGAAAACATCTGTTAGAGCATCCTCAAGGGGCTCAAATTGTGTTCCTTTTGATTGTTCTTTGAATTTGGCAAACAAAAAGCCTGGAGGGTCAAGATCCTGGTTGTCGGGTAGATGGGGTGAGGTTTTCCAATGAAATTCTCCTAGTACAGCCCTTGCTCCCCTTGAGGAATAAGTAGTTGCATTGTCATGATGGAAAAAGAATTCCTCGGTGCAATTTCCTGGCCTTTTTCTGGCTAATGCAGTTTTCCATTTTCTTAAAACGTCTTCCTAATGGAACCCCCACCCCATCATCCTCTGTCCTTCAAGGAAATGTCTCCCTTTGTGGGAGAAAAAAAATTAAAAGATTGCCCCTTTAGGGAAAAGTTATTAAAGCTTCTTAGATATAACCAACTACCTTGAGGGATGAGTCATTGAGTTTGGAGGGCTTAGGACTATGGTCTCGGAGGACATAGGCCACAAAGAAATGCTCTACATCCTACTTTGGTGAATAGCGAGTGGGACCGTGAACTGGCTTCTAAGGTGCAACTTCTGGCTTCTCTGGAGGAAGGAAGAGCAGTAAATGATTGCCAGGAAGCAGTCATTCCAGTGGAAGAACGGACCGTGTCAACATCAGTTCCACAGCTCTAATACCAGAAGTAGATGGTGCCTGGCTACCGCCTGCTCTGAAAAGGAGCAACATTAGAAGGTTCTGGGTAGAGTGGGAGAAAAATGTGGGACAGAGCTCAGAATTGTAACAACCAGGTTACTGATCAAACCCCCGAGACCATGGCCCTTAGTCACCCTTCAGGTCAGGTAATGAAGTCACCTCCATGGCTCACTTTTCAGCCAAGCAGTAGACAGGTCTATGGGAGGAACCGTAGTACTAGGGAGGTACACACACCTTAGAACAGTTAACTGTTTGAGATCAAAAGGGCAGCATATGCCCAAGGACAGTGCACAAGGATTAGCAGAGAAGGAAGAGTAGACACTAGCTCTCCTGTGTCCATGATCCCGTCCCTTCTGAAGTCCACACTGTCGCTTTTCCTTCTGGACTCCCAGGGCAGGAATGTGCCATCGGTCCCTGATGCTCATTTTTTTCTTTTGTTCAGATGGAATCATTTCTAGTGATAATCTTCAGACTCTCCAACCCTTCCTTGTGTTATTTCATTCTGCTATTGACTCCATCCTGTGAGTTTTTAATTTCCGTCTGTATATTTTTCTGTTCTAAATTCCATTTGAGTTATCTTGATGCCTTTTCTGTCTTTGCTTAAATGGTCTGTTGTGATGTATGTGGCCAAGAGCATTTGTGGATTTTGTAGTCCCCATATAAAGCCTTTTGTTGGATAAATCCAGCTCCGTGCCATTTTGGTGTTGGTGCCTATTCGGTGTATTTCCCCACAGGAGCTGGGATTTTCATGGTTCTTCATATGCTGAGCAGCTGTGGATTGTATTCTGGACTTTCTGAACATGACATTTTAAGACTCTAGGTCTCGTTTGCATTCTATGCGAACCATTGTTAGTTTTGTTTGGGCTGGCACTCAGTCTGGCTAAATTCAAGCTGCACGTTCCAGCCCACCCTCGTAGACTGTGAGTATTGGTCCTGGAGAGAGTCCTGGGCTCACTTTCCCAAGCTCCTCCCTCTCGGTGGCCTCCCTAGTACTTTCTGGCTGCTGCGGGCTCCCGCTTTCTGTTCCACAGCTAAACTTGTGGCTCTGCTTACCCTATTTGCGCCTCTTTAATCAAGCCCCTGTCCTGACCTACATGGAAAGAGAAAGGAGCAGTGGGGTTTGCCCCACCCGCTCAGATCTGTGGCTTGAGTCTTGGGGTGGCCTGGACCTGGGGACGAGAGGCTGAGAAGGGGAAGGGAGACTTGCACACCACCTCTGAAGGTCAGGGACCCATCCGGTCCTGGGCCAGAGCGAACTGCTTCCCCAGAGCTCCCTGTGCGCACAGTGGTGCCACAACCATGCTTCCTGACCCCTTGAGGTACACAACTCATGCAGTGGCCTCTACTCTGCTGCCCTTCACCTTCCAATATTGCCCACGGCTGCCCCGAGCTCTTACAGGTCCTATAGTTGTAGCTGGAGTCCAGTGACAGAATAAGGGACTTGTGTGCTGGTTTCCTCGTTGCATTAGCCCATTGTTGGGCAGTATCTGGGTGGACTGTGAGTGACTGGTTTCCCTGTTGGATGGCCTTGTTTGGCAATATCTGGATGGATTATGATTGATTGGACACTGATGATGGACTGATACTAAAATGGACAGCTTGGGTGTGTCCATGTTAAACTGTTCTATACAACATGGACTGGCCATGTGTGGAAACCCAAACAGCTGAATGAGCATGTGTGACCATCCCAGACCAGAATGGGTATGCATGGAGTTTCAGACACTGGAGTGGACATGCGTGCCCATCCCGGACACTAAAGTCGATGAACATGGCCGTCCTGGATCCTGGAGTTGGAGAATGTGGATGTCCCAGACCCTGGAGTGGGTGAACACAGCCACCCCAGGCCCTGTTATGGATGTGCCAAGCCATCTCGGATCTTGGAGAATGCGGCTGTCCTAGACCCTAGAGTGGACATACAAGGCCATCCCGGACCCTGAAGTGGGTGAACACAGGCATCCTAGGCCCTGGGGTGGACGTGCCAGGCCATCCCAGACTCTGGAGTGGGTGAACGCAACTGTCGTGGACCCTGGAGTGGACATACAAGGCCATCCCGGACCCTGGAGTGGGTGAACACAGGCACCCCAGGCCCTGGAGTGGA